GTCAGCGTAGACCGATATAACCCTTGTTAGAGCATACAACGGAAATCACTCCATGCTACCAACAGGTCAGTTTATTTTCTCAACCCAGAACAGATTACACAATTGGATACAATTCATCATTAAACAAAACACAGTTGGTTCCCTTTATGAATTTAAATAAAGCAAGAACAAATATTGATGCAGAATAGTATGAATTCATTTTATTTCGAGGTTTCTCGTCAGTTGCTTACAAGCCAAACATTGTGATAGAATTTTTACATTGAAATAGAGTGAAAACAAATGACATATTTGAGTGTAAGTAACTGGGTTACAATAATAACTATATATATATATATATATATATATATATATATATATATATATATATATATATATATATATATATATATATATATATATATATATATATATATAGTTATTATATATATATATATATATGCTAGAACAGGTCAGAGGTCAAAAGGAATTAATTCGGGTTGGGTGGTGTAATAATGGAATTGAATAATCATAAGATAGGTTACGTAATAATAATTAAATAGAATTTGAAAAGTTAAGATAATGTAGGAGGATCAGGTGGTGGAAATGTGTGAATAAAAAGTTGGTTTAAGAATTATGTAATAGGAGAGGAATATAAATATTTTAAAATAAATAAAAATAAAATAAAAATAATAATAATAATGATAAAGGGTTACCAGGGTAGTGATAAGTTAATTAAAGTCTCTTTTTGAATGCACAAGTCAGGTTTAAGTTTTTTGATCATAATAGCTTCAGCAAAACGGAGGGTGGTCGTACTTCTTTGTCTATTAACAATTTTGAAAGCATGAGGAATGTCGATGGTGTGCCCGGTGTCAAGTAGATGTCGAGCTATTGCACTGTTGAAAGCCATAGTCCCACGAAGCCTCAAGTTTTTTGGAACATGCTCAGAAATGCGGACATGCACTCTTCTCTCAGTTCTTCCAATGTATGTGTTTGGCACGTACATGTAAATTGGTAGATGCAGTTGGAGCTATATATATAGTTATTATTGTAACCCAGTTATTTACACTCATCTATGTCATTTGTTTTCACTCTATCTCAATGTAAAAATTCTATCACAATGTTTGGTTTGTAAGCAGCTGACGAGAAACCTCGAAATAAAATGAATTCATACTATTCTGCATCAATATTTGTTCTTGCTTTATTTAAAAACACAGTTGGCAAGCATGTTTGAAAACAAAACATTAAAAACAACTGACCATTGTGTAACTATCATGTTCATAACTTGCGAATCGAATGACGAAGTTTCGGGATGAGACATCACTAGAACGATTCCGCACATAGATCGGATGTTGAATTTCTGTAGTAGTTCATCAAAGTGCTTGAGAAGTTACGTACTAAATAATATAAATAAAGCCAGAACAAATATTGATGCAGAATAGTATGAATTCATTTTATTTCGAGGTTTCTCGTCAGCTGCTTACAACCAAATATATATTAGAATTTAACATTGAGGCAAGAAATAGTATGAAACAATTGACATGACAGAAAGTAAAGAATTGGAATGACCTAGATTATCAATAACAACTGTATATATATGTATATGCGAGAACTGGTCAGAGGTTATTTGCTGTTAGAATCAAGGAAACACTAAGGATGGGTGGTGGAATAGTTGAGTGGTGTTCAGAGACAGATAAGATAAATTGTGTGATGATTTTAGAGGTAGTGAAAGATTCATGGAATTAAAAATTGATAAGATGCGTTACATAATAATTGAATAGAATTTGAAAAGTTCACATAATTTAAGAGGATCAAGTGATCGGAAATGTGTGAATGAAAGGGTGGTTTAAGAATTCGGTAATAGGAGAGGAATATAACACAAACTAAATATTTAAAAATAAATAAATAAATAAATAAAATGACACAAATAACCAACAAAAAAACAAAAACGAAAAAATTGGGTTACCAGGGTAATAGTAAGCTTATTACTGTCTCTTTTTGAATACATAAATCCGGTTTGAGTTTTTTATCGCTATCGCTTCACCAAAACGGCGAGCAGCCGTACTTCTTTGTCTGCTGGTAATTTTCAAAGCATGCGGAATGTGGACACTTGACACCGGGATACCATCGATTATTCTTATTATTATTATCGATAACCTTTGTCATTCCAATTATCATTACAAATCCGAAGCGATCGGGAAATGCTCGTGCATAATTTCCAAAATCATCACAATAAGCAAATATCAAACTTCTACTGATCAAAATATTCATCTGAATAGAAATGCAAAGACGTTCTTCCTTCTGTAGAGTATTACACGTTTATACCGTATTGAAACCATACTCAAGAAAGAAAATAGCTTTTCAACTAGTCCACAAATTTCTAACAGTTACAAATGAATTAACCGTAAAACACTTTCTATACCAAATCTATCCACACAAAAGTTTAACAAAAGCAATATGAGAATCGAGAATCCTCTCACTAAACAATTCAATCAGAAAGATATTACAATTTACATTAACTCCGCCTGGAGTTATCACATATTTTTCGAGCACACGGTTTACTAAATGTTATCCAAAATGTTTCGATGAATTCCGTGTGGCAGACAGAATAAACAAATGATTGAACAACTCAAAGAAATATTAAGAGAAACAAGTGTCGCATCGGAATAGACGATCAATCAAATGATGTTCGACAGATCATATATAAAATTACCAAGTTGAGTAATTAAACAAGATTTGAATTCGATTATTCAATAATGGTGGGGAATTTCTGTTGAATATTGGTTAACTATATCCAACAGTTACCAACTAACTCCTGAACACATCAAAACAATTGTTGTCTCTAAACTCATGACAACCCAGCTAACAATTACAATATGTATAATATCTTATTACCACCTATAGATAAGACGCATGATAATGCGTTGCAAGAGTCAATTTGTCAGGGTACTTACACACAATCTGTGATGGTAATATACAAGTAGATCCAAACTTACAGAAATGTGCTTGATGAATTCATAAGAAATCATTCTGATTAGATATCCATCCTATTTGTTGTGCATTCATTCGTTAACCATCTATCACAGTGGATCCACGACTGCCGAACATCAACCTGTCTCCTTATCATTATTTCGCATTTATAAATAGTCTCACCACCGATGAACACTATGTTAAATCGACAATTTACAATTCTTAATGTCTCATCGGTTGAATTTCTTAATTTCCACTCCCGATTGCATTTCAGTCAAATATTCATGTTGTGACTTTATGGCCGGCTAGTTATCACGTGATTTATCCACCAGTCAAAATACGACTTATACAATCTTAGCACTGTGCCAAACCAATGTCGTTCGGCGGGTATGGGCAGCCTAGCGTCCTTATTGGTCCTATGTCCGCCTAGCTCGTCCACTTGAGTCCAGAACACCAATACCATCTTCCACTATGCCAATCATATATTTCAAACATACTGTATTTATATATCAAACAAACAGACTGCAACGCACCACAAAATAGGAAATAACATTTGTACACAATAAAGCCAAAAAGTGGCTGTGAATGTGGGAGGCAGTAGTTAATAAATTGAACATAGCTTAAGGACCGTAAATCGTACAATAATAATATATAGGTCAAAATAAAGCTTATGACAAGGGGAATATAGATATACATAATCTAGTTACTGAATATTTATACCATGAGAATATATAAATAATAATAGTACATTAATAAGTCTCAGACGTTACTCGCAACGTAATCTTCACTAGGATATAACAATTCACATATTCATGTAAACCACCGAAGTATGCACCACACTTCCACAATTTTACCGCTCCATTATACAACTTACTACACATAAGTTCGATCAACACATCTTGACAATATACGCTTAAATCAATATAACTGAGAACTCGTTCATTATGTAAAGTCGTCACGATTCCTAAATGATCAATCACTAGCAATTAAGATTCGACATGTGCACCTCAATCCAAATGACTGATAACCTAAGGATATTATCAAACTAGTTGACTTACGAACGAGAAAACATCGTCGAACAAATCACACATTCAAAAACAATTCTAACAAATCGTTCTCTAAATCATATTCGACAAAATATACAACAGTCAACTGTACAAATGTCCACATACACGTTGAACACGAAATAAAACTCAATCATCAGTCAATTATTCTATTCTATTCTACCTACTCCTCATGATTCCTCCACCATTAACTAGGACATAGTTGAAATTGTGCAGAACAGGCAATGAAGGTTTACACAAATGCTCTGTGAATAAGTCATTTCACAAACAAGTTAACAGGAAACAGAGTGAACCTATTCGAAAACAAAGATCAACATTACTATTATTAATATTATTATTATTATTATCATTGACATCATCATTCAAATTAGACCGTTTATTCTCTCCTATCTCCGTCACATGTGGTCATCAAGAATTTCACATTGACATCAACTCTACACATATATCGAATATGTATCATAAATGAAATATCAATGAAGCAGTTAATTACACAGAAATCACTAGAATAAATACAAATCAAACCAATTGATCATCATGATAAGAAATAAAATTGACAAAGTTCTAACATATTTGTATTCAAAGTCAAGTATCATCCGTCATCCACACAACCAATTGTCCATGACGTTCATAAATTAATTCAAAGACAAAATAAGAGTTTTACAAAACCAACATTTAAATTTAATTATGTACAGTATGCAACAGAGTAGTCAATAGAGTAGTGAACATTTGAAACAGAGCAGTATTGAACAACAGTCCACTTCAAATGGATTCGAAACAAAATGACTAACTGACAGACAACATCACACAGACACAGACACACACCACGAATAGACAATAATGATGAAAAGGGAGAACAATCTTCGTCAGTCACAATACCTATACATACATATGTATAAATTGAATTTACAATTGAATTTACTATTCATATGTGAATAGAATTGATGACAATCACAATGGTAGTTCATGTGAAGATTGGCTTTCACCAAACATTCAGCTTTTCGATGATGAATTCAGTTTCTCGGACCAATATTGCTTCTTCATCTGGAGAATTTCAATCTTCAGATCTAGACACTTCATTTGCTTGTGAATCAACATCTCTGACAATGGGGTTCTGTCACATTCGGATCTACAAAAACAAGTCACAGTTTGAACATCTGTTTATAATCACTAGGGCGATGTAGGAGACATGATATACATATGCTTATATATACATAGAAGTCGTCGCATATATCCTAATCATCAAATCTACTACACCATATACACAACTGACAAACACAACTAAATAGGAATTTTCACTCGATACCCTCATATTCAGTAAGGATGCACACGCACACATACACAGGCACACCCCATATTAACGACAATAATCAAGATATTGAGTGACGCACAACGTGGGACGAAGACACTTCAGTGAGATAGAACACCATTGAACGTAAGTGAACAGAGTACTGCTTATTTGTCCGTCCGTTTTTCTGTCTATCTATTAGTCTATCTATCCACCTACCTCGTCGTGTGGTTCACTCACTGCTTGTGTGAATCAAATCCTACTGCTAAGTCTCGTTCTCACAGAGCTACAGTGACAGTCATGGTCATAAAAATCAGTGCACATTCTCATGATCACACAGCAAGCAGTGTGTAGCAGTCAGTTAGCTAATCAGGATTACGTGGTGCTGGTGGTAAGAGTATAACAACAAAAACAACAACAACAACAACAACAACAGGAATAACATAAGGTGAAACGTGTCAGTTGAAAAGAGGTGTCCTACTTACGTGATACAATCCTTGGCATTTTCACCAAAATCATTCACGTCATTCGTGTTCGCCTGATTTCGCGTTCCACTCAACTCTGAACAGCTCTCCTCGTCCTCACTCCACGTTGATAAATCAATTGTTGCAGTCAGAGGAATGCGACTCGTTTGGTTGGATGGTGAGTTCGAGATATTCACTTCTTGAATAGGAGATACGTCTGCAGTATGGGTTTTCGCGACTCCGAACGAGACACATTGGAGAGGAGTCAGTAACGCGACTCGGTTAGGGTTAATCGCCACCTCACCAACCGTGTTGTTGTTGTTGATGGTGGTGGTGGTTGGTTGCAGCACTCCGGCATCATGTGGAATCACCAGTTGTTGAGACATGTGAGCTGTTGAGAATGCGTTCAAGATTTTTGGACCAGTTGTGTGTGGAGGATTCGGTTGCACATGGTTTGTAGGAGGACTGGGTGTTGATATGGGATGTTTGGAGGTGATGGTTACCACTGGTGAGGGGGTGAGTGTAGGCAAGTTGATTTGATGCACACTCGACTGATTCTCGGTCACCTGAATTCGATGAAACAATTAGCACATGATTGGGAAAGGCGAACTTACCGAATCACTTTGTCCGTTCACGTTCATGTGTCGATTTTCATTGGAACTGGAGAGTGACGTGTGGTTGGAGGGATTTTCAGGTGAATCGGGATTGTTTTTCGACACCTCCCACTGATTGATTGTCGTGTTATCGAGTTTCTTCAGCATGTGCAGACCCTTTCGACGCAGATGAGTCCAGTTTCTTCTCGGCCATCCCTTCGAGTGTAGGTAACGTGCGAATTGCATCCACAATTGTTTCTGAAGAACTGCAGATGGACGACTCTTGTCTTTCCAAACATCCCGATATCTCAATACCAATTCGGTTAATTCACTCGACTCCTCAGTTGTGTATCGTGTGACTGTGGTCTGTTTCGACGGTGTTAGTGTTGGTGTTGATGGTGGTCTTGATGCACTAGCTGACTTCCGAGCTGTACTGATCATAATCAAGCAACCTGTTTTGTGGTTGTGAAATGAAGAGAAATAATATTTTGAATGAGGGTGTGAGACAGACAGGTGACATGTTGAGAATTTTCTACCACCAATCGTATATCCTATGCACTGAATTACTATTGGTTGACTGTTGTTAGCTTGTTGGTGATTTAGTAGACAGTCAGGTAATGCTTGTTGGTTTGTGGTGTGTGGTGTGTAGTATGGAATGTCAGTTGTGTTTGCTTAGTTGTGTCTGCTTGCTTGTGTCTGCTTGCTTGTGTCTGGTATCTGTATTGTATTTGGTCACTGGTCTGCATGCTTGATTTAACGTGTCTCATGTGTGATTGGTTAGTCAAACATTCGTGATTTCGATCTCGTCAAAATACTCACGCATTCTGATGCGCTTATTCCTCGAACAACAGTTCGATGATGAACATTAAATTTGAAGACAGATTTAATTTACACCTTAGTTTTCTGTCAACTATCAATCATTTGCCCGTTTCAATTCGATAGTTGTTGGAAAATCTTACCAGCAATTTGTCTGTATGTTGATTCCACTAATTATTATAATGTAGCAGAAACTCCAAGCTCAATTATCCATATAAACTACTGATGAGAAGACTTTGCATTGTCGCAGAAGTGTAGCCACTCAGATGGACAGTATGTGAATCTGGATTGCTGGTGATGCGTATTGTTGTGCACTCAACCTCCTAACCACTATATTGACACGAGATGAAATTTGTTATTTGAAATAGTGCACATTGATATTCTATGAACACATGAACAAACAAGTTCCATTTGTGTGCAGCACATGAAATAAAAGTGCAACCAGAAATATGACAAACTGCATACAGAAATACATATAAATTCGAAACGATCAATCAATATATTAGAAAGATCGATTTACCAATCCCGTCTATCTATCTAATGATGGGTTGTAGGACAAGGTTAAATTCGCGTGTGTTTGTCACACACTCTACTGGCATGATTGTTATGAATGATAGATTTGGAGGATGGTGGACACATGCGAATCACATTATTTTGTCTTTGCAGTAATACACACTGAACATAATGTTGTTGATGATGTGGTAGCCTAAAATAATCAATACATGAATTTCGAGTAAACAACATATCATGCAATTTGATGTTTAGCTGAATAATGAATATGATGTGTGGACGAAATGTTGTACGAAGAATAGAAGCATCACATATATTGACAATATTAATACTGTGAATGTTTGATTGAACAGTCAAACATGAGACACATGGAAGTGACAGTTGAAGCATGTGACCAAGATGAGATTACTGAACATGATAGTGAGACTTCTACTGTGTTGTTTCCAGGTCGGATGTGTGCGAATTCTCAACTGAAATCGAATGAGCTATGTTTGTAGGATTTAATTTGTCCTACAGATATACTACTAGAACTGTAAACGCGATACTGGCGAGCACAGAGTCTATGTGAGAGCTATGGTCAGAACAAGGACAACTTTGATTTAAACTTTATCCCTTTCTGAACGTAAGAATAATTCGATTAGTACAATAATTAAGGGAATTACAGTCATGAGGTTGTGGTGGACGAAAAAGTATAATAACCAAAAATTAGCAACAAAGTTATTACGTCCAAAAGTTAATGTAACAATAACAATTTATAAATTAGTAACACAAAATAAAAGTTCAGGGACGTTACTTAAATCAGCTAGTTGTCGCGTATTCCGTTGAGTTTTGGTACCAAAATCCACAATTATAAATGAGTAATAACTCCGATGAGGTAAATGTGAACAACCACAAGTGTGTCACCTTATTTTAGTATCACAACGGAAAGCGTGTTCATGGTCATTTACTAAAACAACAGGTACAATCAGTGAAAGATTGACAAAATAAATACAAATAATATTAAAAACTATTTACAAAATAAGCTTGTCAGGCCTATCTCCACAAGGTGAAACGCACAAACATACCACCCAGTAATGCGTGTCTTATCGAAATGAATAAAAATGATGAGTCACACTAACACTATAGGATAATAATGGCGTTCAATTGGTAGGTCACATGCAAGAGGGATAGTTGACAGACACATCAGACCAGATTAACGTAGTAGGAGTTTAAACAAACATTGGATTGGTTCTTTATGAACATAATGAACAGATTCCACACCTAGCAATTGTTTGTATGACTTCTCTCTTCTCTCTGGTCATCATCAAATTACTTTCAATTTTATTCTTCCATTTTCAAGTCTATTTCAACTAAAACTGTCTAGGTCAAATATCAATGATTAATTCTTATTTTACTCCTGTTGTAACGAAGTCACTAGTTGTAACTGGTGATTATTCATTCGTCCACTGCGTTTCAATTGCAAATTGCCTTCGTTGTTTTTGGATAAGTATTTCAACCTCATGTAGTTGATGTGTAGAGATGAATTTCTTGAACACACTGTCATTACATGTTTGTCCCTGTTCAAAGAAATAACTTTGTTGTATTTTTTTTTAAACTGACAGCCTACATTACGGTATTATTGAGGAACCGACAAAGTAAATTCAGTGTTACGTATACCACCATTACAATTTTTTACATATTATTTTATTCATATTCAAATGTAATGAGTTGATTTTCCTATAAGTTTTCTCAGATTGTTCAATTTCTTTTCCTGATAAAAATCTCAACAACAACAACAAGAAAAACAGACTAATTTTCTATTTATTTTTTCGAAAATTTCTATTTAACACAGTTTCGTGATGAATAGATTTTTAAAATGTTCATTTGACATTAACGATATAATTCCAGTTGTGCTAAGCTTTGATTAAACATATGTAGTGACTTACTTTTATTACGAGAACATGATTGATTTAATGAAAACAATCATTATTATAACCAACTGTACCAGTGCTTGTCTTGATGTGTTTTTGTTTAACTGTGCTAATTACAGCCATTTTGTGCTTCCACAGCTTCAATCATTGTTTCGCGGTTTTTGGCTTTGTTCGCACGTACTCCGTTCCCTTGCTTTCGCTTGTACCATTTCTTGGCACGATCTTGATATTCATTCGATACCTCGGAATCGCCAATTGAATAAACTTGGTTCTAATCCGCCTTCTGATTTGTTTGACACGTGTTTTCTTGGAAGCGGTGTTAATAGTCAACTGGGACTCGACGCCACGCTACACATGGTTCAATAACATGAAATATGTTTCTCATTACCTTGTCTTCTTATTCAGTAATTCAATGAATAATGAAAAATCAATTTCTTACAAACGAACAAACAACAAATTACCGATCGATAATACATAAATCACATAGAAGATGAATGATGGTGAGCGAATAGGACTGACAAGTTTTGATTATTTTATTCTTCTAGTTACCAATATACGATTTGATGTGAGCTGCTACAACGAGAAAATCGTGTGATCATTTCTATATGTTCACCCTCCCAATCAATCCTACAAAACACTCACACCAATTGAGTGTGTGACAGACACACACGTGAATTAAGCCTTGTTCTCCAATCCATCATTAGATATATGGGATTATTAAATCGGTCAAATTGATAGCAGATTAAATTGAAAAAGTGTCTGCTTTCGAGAATAACACTGAGGAGATATGTGGTTAACAAGTAGTGAACAAGTAGTGGAAAATAGTTGGTATTATAACTGGCAGAGTACAGTAAGTACATCAGCAGTAATGCAAAAATGATTTGTAACTGAATGGATGAATAAATTTAGCACAAAAATCAAGAGGCACTATCCAATCAGTTGGTCCACAAAATAAGTGTTTACAGTGAGGATATACGGATAATGTCGATTCACCTGTTACATGGAATTTTCAAAGACAGAATTGAGCACTCGATTGGTCCTACACTATCATTTATATGATAGTGACAAAAACTAGTTCTTCACAAATATTTTAAATATATTGGGCAGTGCACAAATGCATTTTGATTGCTCGCTATTTGCGAAATTTCTATTTGGAACAAAATCCGACAAAACCATATTCTCGATTCTAATTGACTCGTCTCTATACTATACATTTACCGCTCTAGTTCTTCTTCAATCACATTCCACAATCTTACCACTGTGATTATACTGACCTTGGATGAGTCATATCTTTGTTTAATATGTGGACAAATTAATCGATAGGGATACAGCTACAGCTATTTCTCACCTCTTATTTATTTGATGTGTCTGTTGTATGAGTCCACTGTGTGTTTGTTTTCTCAGACTGGCTGAGGTTATTTACAATCGGTGTTGACCTTGTGCTTGTGGTTTATCCAGTGTATTTTGTGTGAACTCAATGTATACCAAGCTTACCGATCGATCATTGACAGTTTGTAGACAAGTCACACTTTTACGTCAGACATAAATAAGAGAATTAGTCATCTTCTTCACTCAGATGAATGTTTCAACAAATATATTTTCAAAGTGATTGTGATGGCAGTTAGTTGATAAAACTGAATTATCTTGTTGCCAAATATCATTCAGTTAAGCGTACTTTGTGTTAGATACTGTGCAAACAACAACTTAGGTTAGCTCCTGACTAATTCAGTCGTTATAATTGGACATTTGATTTAGAACACATAGAGCAGTGTATGCGCAATACCGAGTTGTATGTATTAATTTCTTTTGCAAATACTTGCACTGTGGTGAGCGTCCACGGGAGATTTGCAAAGACGAATACCGGTATGATTTAGTGGTCATGTGACTGATCACATTGAAATTGAAGAATTGAAGAAGCTTACTAACTTCCTGTATGCATTTGTGGACAAACTATATCATCTGATACATCCATGTTCATATTGTGCTTCTTAACGATTTTTCAAATTACAAATAGAAGTTATGTGCTTAAATGATTTTTTTGTGTTTTCATTTTGTAGTGGTAAATGAATCCCCAAAATCTATAGCTCTGTAAGTCTTCGACATTTCAATGTGACCACATTAGTTAAAATGGACTGACCTAATTGGAGGCGCTTGGTCACGCATCCGCACCAGATCACGAGTGGGAACGCCGTTCTCAACACTTCCTGCAAGTGCTAGCTAGTTTAGATCAGTCACTTCCCGATATATTTATAAATATATCTTCGAACATCCTCGCTTCTGACATTTGATTTCATTGGGTGGGCACGATTGAATGATAGAGGGTGTTACTGGTTAAAGTGTTTTCAAAATGCAAATACTTGTGGCATCTTCATTGGTGAACCGACGTTATCTTGTACACCAACTCGCAAACTGTGAATCTGCTCCAATTTGGAACTTCGTATATCATTGCTTTATTTTAATTTTTATGTATTGTAATATAGTTTCCCATCATTCATTCCTGCACATCACATTCGCTATGACAGAACCGACTACTAAGGTACTCAAGATCAATATTATGACACCGACCTCAATTCAGCTAATGCCATGCTGACCGGACAACGTCGAAGCCTGGTTGTGCTACGCAGAGACTGACTTCTACGGCACAGCGTGACTGATCCATGTGCACAATTCCTCGCAGCAGTGGAGGCACTACCACAGGAATT